AATGAATCTGAATTTTTCGCCATATGGTTATTTTAAGGAATGTTAGTTTTCTCAGGTCTTTGATTATCACTGTTTTATGAAAAATCATTCAATTTTTGCAATGTAAGGTCAAGTCAAGTTCAAAGGTATGACTCAGCGTCACTGAAGGGAAAAAGCAAGAATTCAAGTTCTCAAAGTATGCAGTGGAGGGTTTAAGATTTGGATTGTTTTAACAGGCGTGATTTTGTTGGCATCAAAGTGTGCTACTCGAATCAGGAGCTCGACAAAACACGATGTGGTCGATGAGAATGTAAGGATGAGTGACAGAAATGGTGCTCAGTTCATACGATGGTACAGTGTACGGAAAAATGCGATTGCACAACCAGCAGGCCATTTTGTTTGCAACTGTAATTTATTAGTTGCCAGTCTGGCTGAACAGCAACCGAAATCACAGGCAAGGTTCCGAAGGAGACAGAACGACGGATCGCATCTTTACCTTAAATCAGCTCTTTGAGAGCACGAGTGAATTCCATCTATTCCTGTGCATGGCCTTCATCAACTTTGGGAAAGCGTTCAATGCTATCGAATACTATGCTGTATGGATTGCACTGGCAGAACAGGGCATCTACACCCGGTATATCAACCTATTCAAGGCAGCGAACTCTGGCTACTTCACAAACATCACGTTGTTCGACACCATCCTGGTTCCCGTGGAGAATGGCGTGAAGCAAAAAGACATCATTTCCCACAAGCTTTTCACTGTCTGTTTGGAAACGGTATTTTGGGAGATGAACTGGAATGGCGGGTCTAACGTATATAGTGAATAGCTCTGCCATAAAAGGTTCGCTGATGATTTGGTATTGTTTGCTAAAAAGTCACTCAGCTACAATACATACTTCAAGACCTCGAGTGAAATAGTGCAGATGCTGGACTGCGAATCAGTCGGTCAAAAACGTAGGTACTACGATCGGATAGCATTCCGAAAGCCGATGTAAAATTAACCTGTGAAAAGATCGAATACATAGATAAATATATTTACCTGAGCCATGAGTCATCCGTCATCATGTGGCATGATCAGAATGGAGAGATTCAGTGAAGGAAGATGGTCGGTTATCGTACGTTCTATTCCACCAGTGATATCCTTCTTGGTAACATGAGGAAGGAAACCCGCACCAGTCTTTTAAATTCTATCGTCCTGCTGGAAATGTCGTATGGCTATCAGACGTGGTCAATCACTAAAGCCGAAGAGCGTCAGCTGTCTGTCACACAATGGTCCATGGGAAGAGGAATGTTAGGAATTTTGCGTCGCTACCACAACCGAAACACGACGGGAACAAAAGGCGTTGTGTTAGAAAGCAAAAAGAAAAGCTGCTGTTGTCCATGCACGTAGCTCGTCTCGCCGACAGGAAATGTTGGGTGATAGTCGACTGGTAAACTAACGGGCGAACTAAGCCACTTGGTTGCCCACCATGGCGGTGGGAAGATCATATAAGAAGCGTGGAAGGCCGCGCTGGCAA